AGATCATGAATAATAATTAGTAGTACCACAATCAATAATGTACGATTACATAAAAATTAAATCACACACAATTAGTTTAGACACAAAAATTTCCTAACCAGCCCATTAATTACCAGATACATGGTTATAATTTGCTGGATATTGTAAAAAAATTTGACTGAAAATTGTAGTAAAGAAAAGTCTAAGAACTAAAAGACTACAGCCATATCTTGATACATAACTAATGCAATGTATTAATTATAAATTAATAATTTATATTTTTAAAGGTTACGTCACCGGATGATAGAGGAGAAGCACAGAGGTCATGACCTGATGCATGCTGAAATGATATTAATACTGTTTGCATCTATTGGAGTAGCACAGGTACTCCTCTTCTTATGGAGAATAAAACACAGGAAATCATACCAGGTAGACACAGCATACATGTACATGTGTACAAGTAATAATATACTAATAATATACAAATGATATACTAATAATATACAGTAATATACTAATCATATACTAATAATGTACATTTATGTGTTGGTTATAATAATAAGGTATAAATAACATATAATAATAGTTAGTATATAAATGTATATTTTATACAAATTAGCTAGTTCCTCCATAATTATTTCTTATACTGTATTTCAGCAGCATGAGAATGTGGTCCTATAGTATATAACATTGATGATTTTAATTTCTCTCCTCCTCCCTTCTCTCTTAGGCCATTACCTTATTAGGCATGTGGATAATTCCATTTTATTTGTGTGTTCGGTTGAGTTTCTGGAGGATGATCATCGTATGGTCAATATTCTCTATTATTACATTATTTGTAATGTTTAAGGCTACTAGGAAGAAGCTTCATGTCAACACTCCAAGGTTAGTTTAATTATGACAATTTCTGAAAAAATCCCTGTACTATAGCCCATGGTTTTTTCTGAAAAATGGCTCCGAAATGACTCCCGATTTTTATTACATTTTCTGATACATAATGATGTACTTATGCTGTGTAGAAAGTTTGAGTCAATTTCGACTTTGATTTTTCAGGTTACGGCCATATTAAGAAATTGGCCAAAATCTGAAAAAATCCCTGTACTATAGCCCATGGTTTTTTCTGAAAAATGGCTCCGAAATCACCCCCAACTTTTATTACATTTTCTGATACATATTGATGTTCTTATGCTCTATAGAAAGTTTGAGCCGATTCTGACTTTGATTTTTCAAGTTATGGCCATTAAAAAAATGAGCCAAAATCTGAAAAAATCTCTGTACTATAGCCCATGGTTTTTTCCAAAAAATGGCTCCGAAATCACCCCAAATTTTAATTACATTTTCTGATACATATTGATGTCCTTATGCTATGTAGAAAGTTTGAGCCGATTCCGACTTTGATTTTTCAAGTTATGGCCATTTTAAAAAATGAGCCAAAATCTGAAAAATCCCTGTACTATTATAGCCCATGGTTTTTTTGGAAAACTGGCTCCGAAATCACCCCCAGTTTTTATTATATTTTCTGATACATATTGATGTCGTTATGCTGTGTAGAAAGTTTGAGCCAATTCCAACTTCAATTTTTCAAGTTACGGCCATTTTAAGATTGTTTAATTTTAGTATTACCAGCTGGTAGATGTACAGTATAATTGGTTGTTCCTCTTCTTCCTCTCTCTCTCTCTCTCCTGTTGTAGGATAGTGTACAGGTGGTTCTTATGGATATATCAAGCTAGTTATGCTCTAGGTATCATTGGGTATCTAGTATTATTACTAGTGTTCACTGGACTGGGACTATTGCTACCAGTTAATCCTGACATTATACTGGAGACTGGAGTGACACTGGTGTTTTATGGAGTGTACTATGGTGTAATGGGACGAGACTGCGCTGAGGTCTGTCTGGACTACATGTCAGCTGCCATGACAGTAAGAAGACAGATAGTAAGGCATACTCAGCAATTGAATGAGTTTTGAATAACTAATTAATAATAATCCTCCAATTGAGTAAAGTAATTGGTCAATTGCCTAATTCCTGACTTATTGTGAAGAATAAATTTCAGCTGGTGCTTATGTTTCATTATGCTCGATCTATCTAGTATGGCTTCAGTTGCAGCCCACTTTACCATATAAGGTAGAATTGACTTCCCTTACTGCAGGAAATTAAATTAGATCTGCATTGTTTTACTAATAATTTACTGATAATTGGGATATGTACAGGAAGTGACTTACAAAAATTACATAACCTTAGGAACCAATTAATCACATAACACAACAATACTAATAATAAGAAAACCCTACATACACTAAATTTAATGATAGTTTCCAATGGTTTACCACAATATTAATCTTATCAATCTATCTTCTTTAATTAATTCTGCTTACTTATCATTATTCTAAATTTAGATTCCTTGCATAATACCATTTATGGCTTGTTTGTCATTTGTGTGATCATGTGAGTAGTTTATTTAATTTTACTCCAACTATTGTCTTTAAAATAGCTATTGCTTTACAATTATTGTCTTCAAAATAGCTATTGCTCTGACATTTGTGTAGGATCCTGTGTTAAAATTCTTGTAATGGAAGTGAGTTGTGCCATTAATTCTGACTTTCTCCCACTCCCCATTTATGGTACATGTATACATAATATTGTGCACTGTATATTTATATTATTATATGCTGCCTGCTTTTAAAATGAATTGACATTTGGTCTAGTTATCATTTTGCAAAAACCCTAGGAATTAGTATTGTTAGCTAGTTGATATTATAGTGAGCTGCTTGCAGCATTATTGTACATGTATGTGTACAGATAAACAAAACTAATTGACTCATTTAGAGGCAGTATTTTATTTCTTATACATTAAATATTATAATAACAAAATCTATTGTTATGCATAACTGTATATGACAACCCTAAACCCCCGACCCTCTTGTTCCTTTCTCTTACTCTTCTTTTGCCCTTCTTCTTTCATAGTCTGAGAGTGGTGGCTCTGAAGACACTACTGGTGATTATGCTTTTCACTGCTTTATGTATTTCTTTTTAACTATAGCTGAGGTCCCCCAATTGACTACCTCTTTTAATAACTCAGCCCATGACAGCCAGTGGCGGTTCTAGGATTGAATTTCTGGGGGGGCCTTAATGATATGGGTGGGATAATTAGTGGGTGAGGTCAACCAGGCTTGCAGGATTTCATTTGGAAAGTCAAAATTTAGAAGATTAGGCCTCTTAAATGAGCTCCTTTGTGGTTTACAGACTGTTTACATAGTCAAGCACTGCAGCTGTTTCACAGTTTACATAGATAAAACTAATTTTACACTTCACCACAAAAATTTTGGGGGGGCCATGGCCCCCCCAGGCCCCCCCCTAGATCCGCCACTGTCTCCGCCCCACCAAGTTTACTTCTCCCTCCCTCTTTCTTTGTTTAGGAGTTACAAAAGATTAAACTTTGAATCCCAAAGAGATGAGAGACTTTGTCAGCAAATCAGAGACAATAGGTATGGCACCAGCTGTATCAGTCTGTACTTTGGTACCTAAAAACTAAAACAAATAAATAAATAAAAGTACCAGTTTTGAAAACATGTGGCCAAAGTTGCCTCTCCCCCTCTGTTGTATACATATTGATGCCTTTATCCTCTGTATAAAGTTTGAGCTGATTCTGATTGAAACTTTAAAGTCTGCCATGCATGCATTAGCATTGAAGTACATCTTTTGTAAAATAATGGTATTATTATTATTATCTTATTGACAGTCAGGAGTTGAGAGAGTTAGAGTCAAAGTTACGTGCTGGATACATGAACAAGGAAAGAGCAGCTCAACTTCAATCGGAACCAAAAGGCAAAAGGTATTATACACAGCTGGAGAATGCAACTCTGTCTCTTTGTATAATCATCACAGAATTTTATTACATTTTCTGATACATATTGACGTACTTATGTTGTGTAGAAAGTTTGAGCTGATTCCAACTTCAATTTTTCGAGTT